TGAGGTCCACAAGCATAAGGCTCCGCTCTCACCAGGCTGAAGTGGGCAGAGCCAGCCACCAGGCTATGTGCAAATGAGAGTCACACAGCAGAGGGCCTAACAACTGCTTAGCAGTTTAAGATTTGGCTCACATGGTCAGAGAACACTGCAGACCCATAGAAAATCAGGTCTAGACCAATAAAACCTCTGAACAGATATAGTATGCTTAATAATGTGCTTAGATGCTAAAGAAAAGAAAATGGGTACAGACAGTCATTAAAAATAAATAATTTTAAAACAAGAAAGTCTTTAAAGAGAGAGTAAAGTAATATGAAAGGAAAAGGCCATGTAAAAACAGAAAATACACAGGGTATCTGAATCCTGAATGGTGCTTTGTTGACTTTGAATTACTTAAATGTCAATGGACAAAAACAACAGTGGCTGAGAAACATTGGGATTATGGAAACTCCTAAATTAAACCAACTATATATTTTCAGAATGGAAGTCGGAAAATGTGTGGGGCAGAGGAAACCAAAAGTTATGGTTCTCTTCAAAATTAATGAAGAGCAGATTTGATTGGAGGAGACCTCCTATAAATTTTGTCTACATATATGAAAAAAGAAACCAAGAAAGACTACAAGACAGGTGTCGTATATGCTGATCCCTCTTCTATGGGAACAGCTCTGAGACTGGATGAGACATGATAAATCTTGTTGGCTACAGAGTCCTCGCAACTTATTATCACATACCATCCCTTCATATGGCATGGATAGAGGTTTGGTTATATAGTCCAAAGGAATTTATAAAGTTAATAGGTGCCTTTTACCTGCTCAAACATAAAACAAAACAAAAGAATCTTTAGCGGACTTGTGCACACCACACATTCTATACTTGTGTTAATACAGATATATATGTTACCTTTACAAGTATATGTGTTTTCAGAAAAAAGAACTAGACATCAATAAAGACCAGTAGTCCAGATAAATGCCTCTGCTGCAGTTTCCCTAAAGTTCTGCAACTAAAATTACTCCAAAGCTGCTAGATGAGATAATCCAGCCTCACAGACTGCTCCAGCCAGAATTTAAGATAAGTCCTGCACGTTCTCATCACACCAAGACTGGACAACAGCTAGCTGTCCCAGGACTTGACCATTATCTCAATCTTTTCAGGGTCCCCTAAAGATGCCATCACCCCCAGGCAAAAGGAAGCAGTCTAGAGAACACAACTCCCACATTCCCAAGAGGTGAGGTGGGTGGTTTTGGTCATTCAATGGATTATGGATGTTTATCATCATTTAGGGGGATTGAGTACAAGTTGTTGGTCATGGCCAGGAAAAAAAGCTGAACAAGCAATTAGACTCAGGGATCTTTCTGAAGGGAAAAGGGGGGGATATAGAATGATGGGACAAAAGGGTGGGTTGTCAAGTCTACTTTTGAACAACTACTAGCGTCAAATATTTTATATTGCTATGGATTTTTGTATATTGATGCAAACTTAAGATTATTTTTGTTATAATGTATATGTTTAAGGTAGTGTACCTATGTAGATCATTAACGAATGTAAATTTCTCGTCCTGGAAGGCAGTTATTATAAATCATTTAGGATAATTAACAAACCAGGCTAATAGTCATCTATAACAATCAAACTTGTAGTCGTGTTAGGTATGTTTCCAAGGCATACAGAAATACATTTTAGATAGATAGTCTTCAAATATTTCAAAGACCTACAGATTACGGCAATTAAAATGTTTTAATAATATAAGGTTTTCCAGGGCAGTGAGACACAGCTGTTTCTGGCAGTACCAATCTACTTTAAAAAAGGATGATAGGCATTGAAAAACTGCCAAGTGGAATTTGCTATTATTGTGGCAAAGCTAGCCCCTTGGGCAAGAAACTGCCCTTCCCTTGACTCCTGATAGTATGCTGTACAAACTGGACAAGCAGGACACAAAAGAAAGTTAAATGCCAAACTTTGCCAAGACAAGGTAGGACAGTTCTTCAAAAATTCCTGCTTCACAGGAAAGTCTGTCAGACATTCTAGGTCTTTAGGCCAAAGATGGATGCCCCAATGTTGCAGAGGAACCTTGGGTGATTGTACAGGCAGTCCACTGTTTCTGTCATTTCTATAGTTTTGGAAGTTGCTTACTCTGCACTTCCTGTTTACTCAGGTAGTAATATATCCTTCTCCAGTCTTTGATGGGGTTGAAGACCAGGCAACTATAGTTACAGTTTTCCTTATTACAAAATTCAGGAGAAAAACTTAATGTAAGAAATGTAAAGTTTGAGCTGGGTGGTGGTGGTGACACACGCCTTTAATCCCAGCACTAGGGAGGCAGAGATAGGGGGATCTCTGTGAGTTCAAGGCCAGCCTGCTCTACAAGAGCTATTTCCAGGACAGGCTTCAAAGCTACAGGAAAACCCTGTATCCAAAAACCAGAAAAAAAAAAAGAAAGAAAGAAATGTAAAGTTTGCAAGTTCAAGAAACATAAAAGCTTAAATTGTTTATCTAAGAAAATGTTTTAAGGTCTAAAAAGATATTTTGAGGATGGCAATACAAGTTATAGTAGAAAATAGTTTGGGTATAAAATTTTGGACTCATTATAATAGGATAGATAAAATAGTACTTTCTCCAAATTCCCCAAATACATATGGACTAAACATTGTGAATGTAATTCTTACTTGATAATTGTTCTTATTGTATATAGTTTTACCATGTTACAGTTAAAAATCTTCCCTTTTTATTTAGACAAAAACGAGGAAATGTTGTGGAATATTTGTATACTGTATTGCCCTGACTGGTGTAATAAAAAGCTGAATGTCCAATAGCTAGTCAGGAGGTATAGGTAGGACTTTTGGGGAGAGAAAGGAAGAGGAGGTAGAATCTAGGAAGGCATACAGCCAGAGAGAAAACAGGATGTGCAAGATAGAAGAGAGGTAAAAAGCCATGTGACAGAATGTAGATTAATATAAACCTGTTAATTTAAGTTATAATAGCTTGTTGAGACAAGCCTAAGCTAAAGGTCAAGCGTTCATAATTACTATGATGTCTCCATGTCATTATTTGTGAGCCAGTGGCCAAAAGAAAAATCTACCTACAGTTCTGAGTAAAACTATTAAATCAAGCTATTGATTTTTCATATTTTGAAAACCACTAATTATTTTGCATGGGCCTTAGCTCATGTAGCTCAGTGTTAAGTGCTTGCCTCGAACATGCAAGGTATCAGGTGAGCACTCTAGTGCTGAAAAAAAAAAAAAACCAATCAGGAAACAGACAATAAAATATATTCACTTAAAAACAAAATATTAAGAAATAATAGTAACAACCAGCTCCCAGTACATGGAACTACAGTTCACATGAACTAACACCAGAGAGGCATATAGGTATCTTTGTTCTGTTCATGGACACAAACATGCTCAGAGAATTTGTTCCTTGGAGACACTAAAATGAGACAAAGCAAGCTTATTTTGTCCACAAGTTGATAAAGAACACCATGTATCTCAAAACACCATGTATCTCAAAAACACAACCCTCCCTTCTGCTGCTAAGAGAAAGAATGCTACTTGTTATCAGGAATTGCTCAGTGTTCTAAAGACACCCAATCTAGAACAAATCCTGGATTGAGCCCAAATTCTCTAACGAGATTCTTTTCTTTAATTTGTTGTTATTTAGCCCTTGGTTGAAAAGGTACTTTCTCAATCCTTCTCTTCGACTCTAAACCTAATTTGCTCAACTATTCGTGAGTCCCTTTGGTAATCTCTGGGGAAAAAAGGCACAGGCTATCCAAATACCAAATCCTTGAACAATCCTCACAATCCCAACCGAGCTCAGGAATCAATTCCCTATCTGCACTGAGCAAACGTTTTGTTCTTCCTTATAATCTTTCAATTGTCTGTATATACGGTGTGGGTTTGCAACTGTCTGTATATACGGTGTGGGTTTGGGTCACGGGAATTGCTCTGCATACTTATTTTCTGAATTCTACTTATAGCTAAGTGTTTACTCTGGTGACTAGATAATATCCTGCCTTTTGCCTCTCTCTCTCTCTCTCTCTCTCTCTCTCTCTCTCTCTCTCTCTCTCTCTCTCTCTCTCCCCTCCCTCCCTTTTTTTTTTTAATTCCAAAAGCATTTCTCCTTCCAGGAATAAAATAATAAACAAACTCCCACTGTTACCACTTTCGATGTCCTGCCTCAGGTAAGGTACATTCAAGTTCCTAGTTCTCAACTCTGCTGGCAACAAAACAAACAGCCTTCAGGTCTATAGCTTGTTTTAAAAAAATAAAATAAAATAAAGGGAGAAAAAGAAAATTCATGACATGTTGGTATCAGACTGTTGCCAAGAGACTGGATTTAGAAATGTTTATGTGAATTATGATGCGACCTCTGGCTAGATTTGTACCTTAGGGTTACTTCCTCTTGTATTAAATGCAAGAGTCATGCTAGTCTCTCACTTCTCTTGCGGTTCCATAAAATAAAGTCTGTGGCCTTGCGACTTGGTCACTCAGCACCACGGGACAGGCATTCCTAGACGGGGCGTGAAAGCGACAGTCAGTGCAGCTTGCGGGGGGTGGGGGGGGGACGGCTCCCACTATCAGAGCTAAGGCTGCATGTGACCCGCAGCTTCCTGGGTGGGCTTCTTCAGGAGAAAGCACTTGGTAACCAGACAGAACATGGCAAAGTCAACAGGCAATCGGTAGCTTTTTCTCCAGAGAGTTCTGCCTACAGCTGGTAGGTAGTTCAAATATTAACATCAAGATTGCAGAATGACCGAACCCTACCCAGTCGTTCACGGAGCCTAGGATTTCCCTAAAACGTATTCTCTTTCTAGAGAGACAGAGAGTTCCAAAGCAACTACGCCCGGGGCTCACGAGGCGGGTTTGCATTCACGCTCGCCGGGACCGACCCTCAGGTCCCCGGAAGATGCAGCCGGCGAGCAGGTGTCTCTAGCCCCCACCCGCCCCGCCACAGCTGCGCCCGCGCCTGCACCTGCACCCCCATCTGCGCCTCGGCTGGAGCTCACCCACCGGCGGCACTTGCTGTGCCTGGGAGCAGGTGACAGTCGCGGCCAGGAGGACCCAGGTGAGGAGCCGTGGGCCCAGCATCTTCGCAGTTGCCCGCGCCGCTCCAAGCGACTCCTTCCTCAGCGGCCCAAGGGACCACCTAGGTCGGGAGCAGGCCGCGCCCCCGACGCGTGACCAGCGACCCCGGGCCACACCATACACGGCGGGGGACGGCGCCAGTGGTGAAGGCGCCACCAGTCCGGAGCGCAGACCGTGCAGCAGGCCAGAGAGGGGGCTCCGCCCCCCGCACTCCAGACAGTGGTTTCGTCCAGAGTTAGCCACGCCCCGGGGCGGGGCTTCCAGCTTTCGCCCGGACTTCACCCTCCGGAGCTCTAGGGCTGGGGCTGGGCTCCGGGTGCTGAGAGACGCCTGCGGGTGGGACCCCACTGACTCGGGAGAGGTCGGCTCCGAGGCGTCGTTCCTAAGCCCACCAAAGGGACCCAGGGTCTCAGAGCATGACGGCAGACCCAGTTTGCCCTCCGGGGAAGGCTGGCCCCAAGTGAGTCACCCTATCCATCCTGCCCGAGGGGGTCACTGCCAGAGGGGCCGGTGTCAGGGCCAGGACAGGGCTGTTTCGTCACTCGGGCTCTCTAGGCTGTGAATTCCCCGCCTGGGATTTCACGGCACTGCTAGTCCTAAAATTTGGGTTTTAATTTCTTGCTCTGAAGTCCGGGATTAGAGAGATCGAAAGGGTGGGACCTTCAGGGATGTATTTGTTGGGTTACTCAACTAAAGTGTTTTTGTTTGGCTCATGGGACTTAAGCTTAGCCGAGCTGACCTAAACCTAGGACAGGTATCTCCATAGTCTACTTCTCAAAAGCAGCTCGACAGACGTACAATACTTGCTTGGCTTTCACACGCCATCCTTGTACAAGGCTCGTCCTAATAGGATGAGTTACCTAGAACCCAGCAGGAAATTTTACCTTCTGGATTTCCATTTTCTGCTTCAGCAACAGACATCTCAAGACGTTTTTTTTTTTTTTTTTTTNCTTGTTCAGAACCATTAAAATTTTATTTAATCCCCACCCCATCCCAGTGCTGGGGGATCCGTGCAGTTCTCCTTTCGTGTGTGTGTGTGTGTGTGTGTGTGTGTGTGTGTGTGTGTGTGTGAGAGAGAGAGAGAGAGAGAGAGAGAGAGAGAGAGAGAGAGAGAGAGAGAGAAACTACAGTTCTCCTTACGTGTATGTGCGTGTGAAACTATAGTTTTACCAGCTAACTTGCTTCCTTAGAAAATGCAAACATTCCTTGATGAAGGTTGGGAAATGGTAAGTTGATGTGGTTTTCCCCATCCAAATTTGGAGGCAGATGATAAACAAGTTGTGTTCTTTGAGGAAGTTTAGGTGTTGAAGCACAGCACAGGACTGATTGACACACACTTGGGTTCCTGCTTAGGGAAGCAAGATCAGAAAATACTCACTTTTTGAGGGTCACACTGGGGGTGGCTGTAGGGCCCAAACTCAGGAGTCTGAGGCAAAAGGTCATTTTTAGTCACGGACTCTATGGTTTCCAACCAGTCTAGACGGCAAAGAAAAACAGAGAATACCGTGACACACAGTTCTCTTCTGACCATGGCTATGAGGAAGCAGCAAGAAGACATAAAGTTCTTCCCTTATGAAACTTACTAGATAGGAAATAGACATTTACACCACACATATCAGCATAGTCCATAAAATAGCAAGCGGAAGGCTGTAAATGCTGCAAAGCAGAACTGGACAAGGGCTACTGAGAATATAGCGACTGGGAAAGGGATTAGAAAGTTTACCAGCCGGGCTGGATAGGCATTATCGAGAAGAACAGATTTGAACAGTAAGTGGTGGGAATTAGCCTCGTGGATGCCAAGGAAACCATCCTGGAGACAGAGGGTGTCTGCGCTGCAAAGGCTGAGTAGTGAGACTGAGCCTAAACATGAGGCTTTTTATCACAGATATGATAAATGTTTGGGATATACGCTTAACCTGACGTAAGGATTGCATATTGCAAATAAAAGCAGCAGTCTGCTGCGCTGCACCGCTGTGCAGTTTCATGTTTTATATATAAGTTAAAAATGCATCTTTTAGCAAGTGAACTGCTACAACTTGGTTTTCAAAAGTATACTGCTAAGTTCAAGTACTGCAGGACGATCAAGCCCATTTCTTCATGCTACCCAACACTGGGAAGATAATGTCTCTTCATATTTTCAAAATAAAAGCATTTTATAGAACAAAAAAATGGACAAAACAAACAAACAGAAACAAGGGCATTATTAGGCAGAAACTAAAGAAGCCTGGAGACATGATTGGTAGTTAATTTTTTAAAGTGTCCAGTGTATTCAGCCATCCCAGAGAAGCCAGTGTGGCTTGAACAGAGGAATGAGGGAGAGATAAACTAAGTCAGAGGTGAAGAAAGCAGGTTAAAGACAAGAGCCAGTGTAAAGACTGGGACTTCACTCCGGGAATTTTCTGTAATACCAAATACACGTGTTCAGTGTTGAATCTGCTGGGTTACCATGAAGCTTAAGTCTATCCAAAGTAGAGAATCCCGTTTTTAAGTAGCTATTACCAAACCAAATGGTTACCTGATTAATTCACCTTAATTATGATTGAGAGCAATTTGAGCATGTCACAGTCGCATCTTTTCCTTATGAAATAGTATTTGGTAGTTAGGTGAGCTAACAAACTTAGGTTCTTTCTAAAGAAAGGTTATACAAATTGGCATGATAACCATATGCACAATATCATATAAATAATTTAAAAAACCTACCATATACTAACTCTTGATTTTTCTTTTTAGATAAATTAAAATTTACTTCCTTGAGAGTTCATCATGTTATGTATGTCACCCATCACCTCACACACACACACACACACACACACACACACCTTATATGAGTTTACAGTGCTGAGCATTGAACCTAGGATTTTGAAAATGCTAAATGAGGCTTATATCACTGACTTCTAACCCTATCCCCCTCTTTGAGTCAAGGCTTCACCTAGCTGCATTAGAACTCAGACTTTCAAGTCGCTAATATCGAGGTGTATAATCTTTTCTTTTTAATCCACTCGATTTCCAATGCTAAAAATGGACAAAAAGTCAGAACAAGATGTGACTATTGGCCGGGCGGTGGTGGTACATGCCTTATTCCCAGCACTCGGGAGGCAGAGGCAGGCCGATCTCTGTGAGTTTAAGGCCAGCCTGGGCTACAAGAGCTTGTTCTAGGACAGGCTCTAAAGCTATAGAGAAACCCTGTCTCAAAAAACCAAACCAAACCAAAACAAAACAAAACAGATGTGACTGTAGGAAACTTTATAGTGGTTTAGGCATACTGATGTGTTTCTAAAGATGATATTGAAATGTATATATGAATGATTGTATATGTAAAAAAAAAAGTGATTCAAACTCTCCAGAGAAGTATCAAGTCTGAGAGTTGGATTACCTGCTTAGTATGCAAAAGTCAACATAAGTATTTAAATTGTTGATAGGGATAGCTGAAGTTCTTGGCCAGCCATAGACTTCCGAATCTCCTACCTACCATTCCTAGATTTTCCCGGTGGAGCTTTGATTCAAAGTAATTGTAATCTTATCTCCCCACCCTAAATGAAAGATAGCACTTACCCAGAAAGTATGGCTCAATTTAATAAATACTGAGTATATAACAGTTTTTACTAGAAGATAAAATATGGAGATAATATTTCAGTTTGAAAATAAGGATTTTAACAGAATAATTTACTAGGTTTAAATATATTTGTTTTTACAAACATAAAAAAACAAGTTCAGAGAGGCTGGGCATGTTTTTAGACTCCTATAATCCTAGAACTTTAGGACTGTAGCTTTGTAGTCAACCTGTGAGACCTCTGCCATGGCCTCAAACAAGTTAATTTTGTTTTAGTTTTTGTAAGACAGGATTTCTCTGTGTAGCCCTGGAGGTCATGAAACTTGCTCTGTAGACCAGGCTGGCTTTGAATTCACAGAGACCCACCTACCTCTGCATCCAGAGCGCTGGAATTAAGTATGTGTGTGGCTACCGCCCAGCAATTATAGTTCATTTAAAAATCCTGATACATTTAAAGTGCCACTCATGTTTTAAGAAGTTTTTGTCTGTCTTTCAGGAAAGAATATAGATGGTAAGAGGTGGAAAAATAGAAAGACAGACATCATATCAAATCAGTACATTTTCTTCTGGTTGCTTTACCATGCCCTGTCACAGGTTACTTGTTTTTTTCTCTTAACTTTTAGATTTTAAAAACATTGTGAACTATTCCCTCGGCCTGAGATAAAGGGACACTTTCTTCTGTTACAAAACTGAAAATTTAGAGCTCACATTTGATCTAATTGTGCCTCTATAAATGTCAAAATAAAGGTTATAATAATTATCTTTCCACTTGTACTAAGTCCTTATTTCTTTGTGAAACATTGTGAAGTGTTATTGAATCAATGATATTTCAAATATGTCAAATTTGAAGCACCATTTAAAAATTCCTGTCCTGTTTTACCTTTTCCTTAGTGAGATATACTTCTGACCAGAAGATAAGTCATCTATGTTTCAGATATGCCAGAGCCTTGTACATTTTAAACATGCACTCTGCCTATAATTGAGCTACAGCCCTGGCCCTGAAGGTTCTTTTCAACTTAACTCCTACAATAGCTGAACTGTTCTAACTTTATATGTCACCTACTTTATATCAGTGATTGTAATTAGCTATTTAATGCTTCTATTGTTTTCTAGTGTATATGTAATAAATTTATTCTCTCAAAAAGGTTGAACATTTAATACTGGTGCTGGCACAAGAGTGAATAAATGATTGATTGTCTTCTGGAGGCTTCGGCCTCACAACAGAGAAAAGAATGCAAGGCAAAATAGAAATCGAATGAATTGCTAGGAAAGCTTCAATATAGTTAGCCCGTTAGGCAGAACGACTCTCTGGCTTATATTACGGACGTTTCACAGATCTCACTTCCAACCCTGACATGCAGCAGCTCCAGGATTTGAATGAGACATACCCTTATCCCTTTGTGGGTGGGCCCTGACCGGTTTACGACACTTAAAATGACTCTGTTTCTCTTGCCAAAATGCTTGGCGCAGGTCTTACCCAAATGCATCAGAAAAACCGACCTGAAGCCCAGGTCTCGTGCTATATAGTCAAATCAAAGTTCCCTTGCTCGGTTCGAGGAACTTTGCGGTCCAGTGCTGCTGGCATCCATAGCACAAACTTGCAGGGAGTCACCTAAGATGAAACAGATACTGTGGACAGCGCAGTGGAAAGACTGAAAGAAACTGGGTCATTGGTGACATTGTTAGGATGTTAGATCAATCCATCTCAGAGCCTGTCTGACAGCTGGACTCTGTATTTCCATGAGCCACTACTCTGTGTTGCTGAAACCTTAATACAACTCTTCTTACTCCTTATTACAAAGCTCAAATTGCTTTGCTTGCAAGGTGAATCATTGTGATAGACAGCAACCTACCTGATAAACACAGAAAAAATATGCATCACCTAAGTAGCAGGAGAGGATTACTGTAAAGCTACAGAGCTTACTCCCTCCTCCACTCCTTAACCTTGATGGCCTTCTACTAAGTTTTATGCTTCTAATTTTGTATTCTTTTTCTCAGAAAGAACCACCCAAATGGTATGAGCTTTGGGCCTCATGAAATGAAGAAGATCTACCTCAGACATTTTGGAGAAGAGAACTTGACCTTTCTGAGTTCTTCCATTCGTGTTTCCCTAAGGGAGGAGTGACTTACCTAAGTGGTAGATAGCTGTGGGAGCCATGGTACATGCATGACCTGATCTGTCCTTGGCTCTCTCATCGCATCTGCCTTCCACAGCCATATGCTCACTGCATACGGCCCTAGATGACAAGAGCCGCAGGAGAAATAGGTTTTTTTTTTTTTTTTTTTTTGCCCACTGCTCCCCAGATGGGCAGCTCTCCAAAGAATCTTAAAAATACAGTTGTAGCATGACTGCGCGCAAATTCCAGAGAAAGCACCGTGAAAGGAGAGCTTCTGAAGACATGCAGAGAAAGTAGGCAAGGAAGGGAGGCTTCTGTAAGTCTTGGCCACCAGGCTGCCAGTAATGAAGCACTGTCCTAGCTCCAGCTACACCCTGCAGTTATCATACCCTCTTATTTTAGAGATCGGCTGTGTTCCCAGGATGAAACTTGTGTTTGCCAAGTAACTGCATGTTGTGGAATATTATTTTAAGATGTGTGACATTTGTTTATGCGGTGGAACATTTGTTTTAATGATGCAATGATGTGTTGCCTTCTTTTATGTTGCATTTGTTTAACTCTGCAAAGCTGTTACTTTGCCTGTCTAAAACATCTGATGGTCTAAAAGAGCTAAATGGCCAAGAAAAGAAGGGACCCTGCCACACAGCCAGTCACGGACTTAGAGTGAAAGTAAGGTATAAAGAAGAAAAGGAAAAAGCCCAGAGGCTTAATTTAAATTAAGAAAAGCTGGCAAGAAACAATCCGGGCTAAGGCTGAGCATTCCTAAGTGAGAATTAATTCCCTGTGTGTGATGTGGGGAGCTGGGTGGCAGGCGTCCAAAAGAGACAAAGAGTAGAACAACCCACAACACCTGGATGTACAGACTTGCCCCAGAGGAAAGGTGGAAATCTCATTTTGGCAAGAGGTCGAAGCTGTTGTGCCTGTTTCACTGTTAATCAGCAACAAGACTGATCTTCAATCCTATCTAACATCTGTGTTATTTCCCAGAAAAAAAAATGAGAAGTATGATGGTCACATCTAATGAGAAATGAAACCAATTACATTTGTGAAACTAGTGTATGGATAAAAAGGCATAATTGACTATATGTACGAGCAGGACAGTAGGTGCTATCAAAGATACACACCCAGTAACACATGCCCAGTCTCAAGCTTACAATTGAAAACAAAATGCATACTCAACTCCCGCGGGAGTATTTAATGCATGTCCAGTTAGTGGTTTTGGTTAGATCGGGCATAGGAACTGGCATTTGGAGGGAGGGTCTTTAGGGGGTGATTTCACGAGGGCTGTCCTTCATGCTAGGACTGAAGCCTCTGTAAAAGACACTCTTTGTGCTGCCTTTGGCCTCTCTTGCCCTTTGCCTTTGACTAGGGTCTTTTGGGTGAGGTCCTACCAGCTGAGATGATGTCTCCATGACATTTGCCTATAGGCAAGCCTGTCCGTGTGATGGCTGATGGGGGAGGGTCAGCTCACTGTTGGCAATGCCATCCCTAGGTGGTCCTGGGAGCTAGCAGAGAGTTGTCTGAGCAAACCACGGGAAGCAAGTCAGTAAGTAGTGATCCCCTATGGCTTCTACATCAGTTCCTGCCTCCAGGTTCATCTCATTCCTGGCCATGATTCTGTGACTATTCTTGTCAAATCCTGTTTCATATCTAGCCGACAACAAGGCAAAACTGAACCCCTTAGTTTCCTTCTACGTTCCAAATCGCTAACTAAATCAAATGCTAATGCTGGGAATTTAGGAGTTGCCCTGACTCAGGTTTCCTTGATCTCTTGCATTTACTCCTACAGAATAATTGAAACAATCTCATAGCTTCTCATTGCCAACACTGTAGACCAGGCTACCCTAATTTCTGGCCTCTACCACTGTGATAAATTCCTACATGGACTCATCAATTTCTTTCTTTCTTTCTTTCTTTCTTTCTTTCTTTCTTTCTTTCTTTCTTTCTTTCTTTCTTTCTTTCTTTCTTTCTTTCTTTTTCGAGACAGGGTTTCTCTGTGGCTTTGAAGCCTGTCCTGGAACTAGCTCTGTAGACCAGGCTGGTCTTGAACTCACAGAGATCCGCCTGCCTCTGCCTCCCGAGTGCTGGGATTAAAGGCGTGCGCCACCATCGCCCGACATCAATTTCTTTCTTCTTCAAAATAACCTCTAAAATGCAACCAGACAATGAGATTGGGCACATTCAAGGTAAGACGCTGTGAACTCTAAAATGCAGTCAGAATCACCTCTCTATGTTTGCTTGCTTCCTTTTTTGAGACACGGCCTCACGATGTGGCTCTGGCTGTGCTGGAACTCCTCAAGTAGACCAAGCTGGCCTTTGTTTTCCAAGTGCTGAGGTTCTCCCTAGTGGGCCCTGCTTCACCTAGTCAGAATAATCTGTTTAAAATGAAAACCTGATAATACGCCTGACTTTCAACAGTCTCCTAACAACATTGCTGTCAAGTCCAGAATTTTCAGTGTGTCTGGGAAGACTCATGCTGGAAGCTCCGTGGGCTTTTTACTGCCCCTTTTCTTTTTCCTACCCCTTACTCTTTCTCTTTCAGTCAAAAGCAATTCATGGAAAAACATGGCTCCGTCCTAGCTCAGTGTTCAGAATGATCGCCAGGTTCCTCTAATGCAAGGCCTGTCTTCTCCAGTGCCAGTCATTGTGTGTGTAATTTGTGCTCATCCCTCAGAGTTCATCTTAACATGTGTCCTCGTGGAAGGCTTCCCTGACCTATATCTCTCTGCCAGATTTCTTCCTCCTGTTAATCAGTTCTCAGATATCCTGTACTTTTCCTTCCTAGTACCTTGCACACTCTAGTTATTGAACAATTACTTAATTATTTGTCTGAGGGTTGCATCATATCTGCAACACCAAGCACAATGCCTGGCATAGGGAAGATGCATAAATGCGTGATTAATGGACTGGCTCCTTCAGGGCTGAGGAAATGAAGCTGTCTAAACAACAAGGATTCACGGGCAAATGCAGTCCAACTCTAACCTGGATTCTATACACCTGTCCTCCTCTCTCTCTCCATCCACACTTGTTCATTTTTTATTTCCCATGTCTTATTTTCTCCATATTGGAGCAATGACATATCATATCATATCATATAAGGACATGTTAAGGACACTGTTCAACCCGTATTGGAAAACTTTGTGTTACAAATTTGAAAAATTTGTGTTACCCCTTGGGAGAACTAAAGGTTATGTGTACTTCCTTGGGTATCTCAGAATATAACTGGTAAGTTTTTTTCTCTGTTCTCTAGACTCTAACATAAACTTTTAGGGGTTTGTTTTTCGATCTCTAAGAGATACCCAAACACAACCAAATAAACCACAATGTATGTGTTACTTGATCAGAATCATGTCAAGAAAGACAAAATCTATCCTTAGACACTGATGTCAAGGCACAAAGACCTCGAGGGAGCAAATATACAAATTGTGAAGTATTCTATAGTTAACCAACGTGATAAAAATAGCTACCTTTTTTGTCCTTGCTAATGCTATGTTAGTTTGGTTTTTAATTCTCCTCAGTCTACTGGCTAAAATGCTATTTGATTACAGATGTGGTGGGCTATTGGATTCTGCTCTCGTAAGTCAGTTGTGTTCAGTGGCATCGCAGGGGCACCCTGAATACACTGTGATATTTATCGTGCAGGAATGAGCAAACACTACACACCAGAGCTTTCCTCCTGGGACAGTCAGCTGTTAAACATGACCAGTCCACCGCTGCTGGTAAATCTGAGTATTTTCTCATGTACTTATAAGTTTTCATATTTTCTTTAAAATACTCATTTTTGTCTTTTGTCTGTTTATAAAAAAACGAACTTTCTGAAAACTTCACGATTGTTATTCTCTGTGCGTCATAAAGGTTATGTCTTACCTACTGATATGTTGTTATTTTGCTTGCATATGGTTTATGTGTACCCCCCAAACGTTCATGGGAACTTTATATTATGACAATGTTAAGAGTTGATAGGACATTTAAAGAGAGGGGACCAGGCAGGAGGTCATTATGTCATTAGGGACCTTCCTTCAGAAGAAGTTAACATAGCTGTCATGGTACTCGGGCTTCGGGAATAGCCACACGTACTTTTGTCTTTTCACATGCTCTTAACCACTGTGGCGCCATTCACACTTCCATCACCAGAGCCAAGCACCACGCCTTCAAACCCTCCAGAGATGAAAGGTAAAGACACTCCTTCTAAAGTACTCAGGTTATAATTACAGGAGACTGACCAGTACCAATGCATCAAAAATACATTTCCCCAGAGAATACCTTGTATTTTTTGCTCGAATTTATCTTATCTTGAGAAAAATTCTTGAACTATTTTGTACATACAAAGAAGAATCTGCAGATAACTGATAGACACAACTTGGTGAGTTCAGAGGTAAACATAAATGCATAAAATAATCCCTGTTCCCTACATAATAAACCTATTTCTCACGCTCAAGTTTCTGCCTGAAATTTTGTTTATTTCTTGTGGTTAAAAATAATTAAAGTTTACCTTCTCAGAAAAATTAAACGAAAGAATATTTATTGTCAACTGTGGACATTTTATTAGAGTAGACAAGTTCTACTTACTGTACACAATTGGAGCTTTGCACCTTTGGTGAGTGCTTTCCCCAGCCTTTGATGACTATCTTTCTTCCAACCTTTGGCAGCCACCGTTCTACTCTGCTTCTATGACCTTGACTGCTTTCTATTCATCATGTGAATGGCAACGTGTATTATTTGTTCTTCCGTATTAACTAGGTATAAAATCCTTCATGTTCTGCCATACTACAAATATGTAAAATTTTATTAGTAGTAGCACTGTTGTTATCATTATAATTATTTTGAGATATAGCCTTGTTGTGTTTTTGTGTGTGTGTGTATGGCTGAGATATAGGGACATGCTTTGCATATAGATAACTAATTTCCACAGCACCATCTATGAATAAACTATTTCCTACAATTGTATAGTCAAAGATCAGTTGGCTGTACATGGGTTTATTTCTGAACATTTTTTTCTGTACCATGCTATGTTTTTAAAGTGGAGGCTAGAGAGATAACTCAGTGGCTGCTCTTCCAAAAGACTGGGGTTCAGTTCCCAGCAACCACATGGCAGCTAATGTTGGACTCCGGCGTCCAAACACGGAGAAGGAGTCGCCCCCAGAGACCATCTCACACACTACAGCCGATGCAAAAGCATGAGGATTTTATTAATTCTGTCATGACAGGGTCCCCCAGCATTCGGGAAGCCGAGGGACCTTGAATAGCAGGTACAGTCTACTTTTAAAGGAGCCACAGAAGCAAGGGGGGTTGTTCTTTGACTATTCTGATTGGCTTATTTGAAAGGGCTATTACCAATAATTGACTGGAGAGCTGTTGCCAGATCAGATGAGGTAAGAGGTCATTTTGACCCCGTTTCCCAGGGGACCGAACCAAAGCATACGTAAATGGTAATTGTTCAGGAACTGAGTACGTGCGAGTGTAGCTGTTAGGTCCTTGGTTCCCAGGGGAGGAGGGGAAGCACTATGGCACAGAGGCTGAGAGGATTCAGAATTGTCAAAAATGGCTTCAGGATTGTCTTAAAGTCTTACACTAACAAATGTCTCTAACTCCAGTTCTAGTGGATCAAATGTCCTCTCTAGACCTCCATTAATAACGGTCATCATCTGGTGCACAGATACACATGCAAGTGAGAGACCATACATATAATAAAAACAATTAAAATTTTTATTACATGTATTTAATTTGTGTGTGTGTTGTGCTGTGTAGATATACATGTCTGAAGATCAAAGGACAACTTGCAGGAGTTGGTTAGCTTCTGCTGACATGTAGGTCCCAAGAATCATGCTTAGCTGGTCACTCTAGTGAGAGTTCTGAGCCCAGGCAATGTGTGGCAGGGTCAAATTCCATGAAAGGAGGCCCTGGAAGGGCTATTTTGTGAAACTGTGGAAGTGGAACAGATTATGGTATAGATGTTGGAAAAGCTAGGACTGTGGGGCACCTGTTGATAACAGCTCTGAACGTGGAGTAGAGCTGGCCCCGGAGAGAGGCTATGCTTATGGAGGAGGAACTGGAGGGCTGGTGCTACACAGCAAGGCTGTGGGAGCCCACATGATAACACCAAGATACTTAGGAAGTAGACAGAGAGCTGCAAGATTTGGTGTATGCCTTGCTGGGTTTTAGAACTGCTTTGTCCCAATCATTTCTTCCCATGCTCCCATTCCTCTTTTTACTATGGAAGTATGTGTTCTGTGCCACTGTATGTTGGGAGTCTGTAAATTGCTATTTGATTTTTATGGTGTCATAGACGTGATTGCCCACGTCTCAGTTGAGATTGTATTCTTGGACTTTTGAGCAATGCTGAAACTGTCTCTGAAAGTTCCCTAGCTCAGAAGTCGAGAACTTTCACAGATACTAAATGGTTTTTGCATTATGCTATGAACATGAAACTTTAGGGACCGGAGTGGAATGTGCTTATTCATTGATAGGCAAGGCAGCCTGATGGTAGAATACTTGCTTAACATGTATGAGGTCCTGGGTTCAACCCTTCGTGCCACAAGTAAATAAACCTCTTAAATTGGCCAAGAACCTGAGACTGGAGGATCCAGGAAGCTAGGGAAAACCCAATACTACTATTCTGCTACAGGAACGCAGCAATAAAATGACTCCTAAAACATTCTGCTTTATAAAGAGACCAGTCTCACTCTGCCGTCATTAGAGAAGCTTCCTTCTGAAGTAGATGGGGAAAAAATAGAGACCCACAACTGGACAGTAGGCAGAGTGAGAGACCTTGGAACACTCCGTCCTAAATGGGAGGTCTCCATCACATCCTTTCCCTCAGAGCTCAGGGAACTGTGGCAGCAGAGGTGGAAATATTGGAAACGCCAGAGGGGATGAAGGACACCAAAGAAATGAGACCTAAACACAGCAGGTCGGATGCATAGAGATGCTCACAGAGACTGTGGTAACATATATAAGGTCTGCACAGGTCTGGGTCTAATGGGGTCCCAGTGCTGAAAGTAGACACACGTCCACACTCCTAACCCAGAAGCTATCTCCAATGGCTCACATGTGAAAAATTGGTTTTCTCCAAGGGAGTCCCACTGGATATACAAGCTCCTTTTGAGGGCAGGCTCCATGCTCAGCAGTAGATGGCCAACACAAAATGAACTCAGTGACATTTTTGGAGGTTTTATAATGCTTTGGCAGAACTTAGATTTTTCTTACAGGTCCTTTGCATATAAATTACTGATTTTTAAATTATGTGTATGTGATGTGGTTCTGTGTCCCTGAGTGCAGTGTCTGCAGGGACCACGAGAGGACATTGAATCCCCTGAAGCTGGAGTCACGGGCAGTTTGTGAACTGCCTGATAGGAATTTTCAAAGCCAAAGTGGGTTCCTCGGCAAGAAAGGCAAAGGCTTTTAATCCCTTCAGCCGCCTCTGCAGTCCCACCTGCTGGTAATTTATGGGCAAGACTGTGGCCGATTTAAAAGACCAAGGTTTATAACCGCAGTCCCAGAAAGCCTTTTGCAGTCTTAACTGAAAAAGGGGGCTGGCAGCCATGTCCACAGGTGCCATGATTTCCAAAACTGCCTTCTCTAACTGCACAGAATTGATGGACATCATTACAACCTTGTTGAATAAAGATATTAAAATAAGAACAGATTGACTACCTTACAAAAGTCTATGCGGCTGTAAGTGCCGTTGGGTGCTGGGTAATTATGGTTGAGGGGTTTACTGAGGTCAGTGATGTCCGTGTGAACTCCTCAAGGACCACCAAGTCCCATCTCTGAAGTGGATCCTCCTGCTCTCGCTCCTCAGGCAGCTGTGGTGTGGGAACTGTTCTCTCAACTGAAGGAGGAAGGGAAAGCGGTGGCATTCCCCTTTTGCTGCAACAACTATAGATGTATCAGCAGCGATGGCTGTGGCGGTGACACCTCCCTTTCCATTTTTACTTCTTCCTTCCTGACTCGGGTAACTCTTGTTTGATTTTTTTTTCATTGTTTCAGGAAAAGCTAGCGCTTTGCTGAATAAAAGTGGTAAATGTTTTCTGGGTTTTCGAGTATGCTGTTAGCAGTCGGGCTTTCCAGACACGGCCTGCTGCCCAGGGAGCTTCTGTTTGCTCAGCATCCATCACGAAAAGGTGCTGGTCAAATGCCTTTTAAAATACATTGGATTATGATGCAATCTTTATTCAGTTAACTAATTTTTGATATAGCTATGCATTAGTTGGTTTCCATGTTGCATTCCTCCATCTCCTGCATAAATCCTACTTGATTATTATGTGCACTTCTTTTAGCTCATTGTTAAAATTTGGTTTGATAGATTTTGATGATTTTTGTATCTGTGTTCATTAGGGATATTGGTCTGTGGTTTCCTTATATCTTTGCCTAGTTTCAAGTGAGTGATACTGTCCAAAATGTTTGGCAGTAGTTTTTTTTTCAATTCTTTAGGTAAATCATTGTTTTCTGTCCCTCACATCATTATTGTTTGCGTGTGGAGATGCATGTGTGCTTGCTGGTGCACTTACATATGTGTGTGTACACACATGTAGAAACCATGGAGCAACCTTGAGTGTCGTTCTTCAAATGCCATTTTGAAGTAGGGTCTCACATTGGCCTGGTACCCAACAAGTAGGCTAGGGTGGTTGGTCAGAGAGCCCCAGGGATCTATCTGCCTGTCTCCTCCTCCCTAGCTCTGGAGTTATGACTCCACCCCATCGTGCCTAACTGTTCTTTCTCATGAGGGTTCTGGGAAATCCATATCTTACAAAGCAAGCACTTTACCAGATTATTTTATCATGCAGCATTTAAGTGCCGAAATCCTCCTATAAATAAAGCATTGTTA